ACTCTCTAACCGGTCGTTCGTTCGAATCCTTACATCTTCAACATAGAACCACAACAGATGCGTTCGAAAACAGTGACAAACTCGAATAAGTACCAAGTTTGAACACCCCACTTTGGGTCCTGGTCGCTCGCCGCCAAAAATGCGACACCTTGACACAGACGCCGAACCCCAGTAGACCGCAGCCTTAGGGCTGCGAATAAAAATATGCTCAATTGTCTCTACCCTCCGTCTCCATGGAAATCCCCTGGCACCTTGCACACCATGGCAAGGTTTTGCCTTGGAATGAAATTTATTTTTTTTACTACCAGTACCTCCGAGCCTATTTTCGACGTGGTACTGGCCAGTACCCGAACTTTTAGGAGGCCGGGACCGACATCGGCTGCCGTTGATAAATCTGATCAGTGGCCGTCGTTTCGTTTCGGCCTCCTGAAAGGTCGGAGGCCGAGTATTTTCGAACCGTCAAAGGTACTGGTGGAAGAAGAAAAAAGGAGATAATAGCGTTCTATTCGGTTACAAAAAAAATAAAAAATAAAAAAATGGTTATAACAGCGTTTCCATTCTGAAATTCAAATAGAACGCACGTCTGTTATATTTGAATACAACCCATGTCCGTTCTATTCGAAGTGCCGTATTCGAAAAATCGATTTTTGTTTTCGTGAAACCTCGAATACGATTCGTATGCGTTATGTTCGGTCGGGGACCGCCAGTAGTATCCCATGGCAAGACGTCGTGACCGACCGATTGCTAGGCGTACTCACACCCTAGGACGTTTTCACTAATATGGATGTAATTGCGGTCATGTACATCCAGCTGCGTTCGTAAATGCGCTCAGATACATTTACGATGATAAAGCTAACCTGAGTACGCTGGTCAGGCATCGGTGCGGCGAACACAGGATTGTCTTTTTTTTTTTTTTTTTTAAATCACAAGATCGTCATGCAGTCTCTAAGGGTCTCATTAGACACTCCTAAAAGAATCCTAATTTTTTTAGGACCAGTCCTAAAGGTTTTTTAGGATTTCGTGCAGAGTGGTTGCACGCGATCCTAAAAATCATCTTTTAGGACTCGTCCTAAAAGTTGTCCCAAGGCCTGTTTTATATGCGTATACACGGCCGCGTCGTCGATGTTTGTCCGCTCGTCGGGTGGTGTCCGTGGTACACAGCGCGGTAGGCCGTCGGCGTGCGGGTGTCTTCGGCGGGAAGTGCGCGTTTCGTACAGTTCGAAAATTCGAATTCAAATTTTCGCAGTGGAGCGGGCTGGGGGGGGGGGGGTCGGTTCTGCCTCAATCAGGACTGACAGGCGAAGAAAGACGTGCGAAAGACGGCGTTGGCGAACCTTTCAATGAGAGTATTCTCACCAAGCGGGCGCATGTCGGGCGGCAGCGCAACTTGTCCTCCTCCTCCGCTGGGCTATCTTCCTCCATTGCCCGCGAGCGTGCGCATATTGACGTCAGGCTTCCGTGTTGTCTTCCACCATCGTCGACCATTGGCGTGCACGGTTTCATCCGTCGACGAGCACCAGCGGGCGCAGCTTCGTGTACGACTGGCGTAGTCTTGAACTGCTAACGTGGAGAGCGTCGTCCTGTTCGGTCGGCTCGGGCGTGCCTATTCTCCTGTGGCAGCGGCGAGCAGCAGCGACGTGCTCGGGAGACGTGTGCGTGGTGTCGTTCCTTATCGTCGAGCAGCAGCCGCATCTTTTGGTCCCTGTTGCGTGGCACACTGTGGCATAGTTGGGCACGTGGCGCCTTCGGCCCGTCCAACGAGCAAAGTGTTTGGCAGGCTGTCGACGAAGCGAGCGTTGAATGGAGATGGACGTTTGCAGACGCGGCGACGGTCTGCGTGAAGACAAGAGAGAAGCCGTAGCGATGGCCGTGACAGCTGTCGTCTTGAATAGCATGAGCGAAATGTCGTCCTCCAGCCGCGACATGCGTTTGCAGCTTCATAAACGGAGAGCGCTCTTGCAGAGCGTTGTGGAAGCGCCGGATTGTATGGCGACGTGCGAAGCTGTAATGCAGATGTGTTCCGCTCTCGACTCTGGCGTTTTTCCGCACCAGACACCGCGTTGGTGGATCAAACGACGCACTGGCGGGACATGGGAGGACCTACGCCTGTGTGATGACGCCACAGAGGACGACTACAAGGAGAAGCTGCGTATGTCGAGGGCGATGTTCAACCAGATTGTAGCCGCCTGCGCCGCACATGTCGAGAAGATTGTCACGCACTACAGGATGCCGCTGCCAGTGGAGCAGGTGATCGCTTTCACGTTGTACAGATGGGCGTCGGGGGAAACGTACGAGAGCGGGACATCAGCCTTCGGTATCGGCAGGGTGACCGGCCTGCAGGCCGTCCGCGACGTCACTGCGGTGCTGCTAAACGCCTACCCCGACGCGATGAAGTGGCCTATTGGGCGTAGACATGCGCAGATTCTACGCGCGTTCCAGGATAAGGGTTTCCCGAACTGCTTCGGCGCCATCGATTGCACCCATATCTACATTGTCAAGCTAGCAGGAGCACCGTCCGTCAACTACTACGACCGCAAACAGAAGTTCTCCGTCCAGGCACAGGTCGTCGTCGATTTAGATTTGCGTATCTTGGACGTCCACGTCGGATATCCGGGAAGTGTCCACGACGTCCGTGTACTGCACAATTCCCATCTGTGGAGGCGTGCAGAAAGCGGCGACCTTTTAGATGCACCTCTGGAGAATCTCCCACACGGTGTGGTTACGCGAGGTTACCTGCTGGGCGACAACGGCTACCCGGTTGCGTGTCCATGGATCATCCAACCATACGGAGGAATCTTCCAGGGTCCGGACGAAGAGCGTTTTGACACGCGACAGAAGGTGGCGCGGGGATGTGTGGAGCGGGCGTTTGGGCGACTGAAGTGAATGTGGCGTCTCTTTTTGCGTGCCCACAAGACGAACCTTCAAACCTTGCCACAACAATTTGTGGCCGTGTGCACTCTCCACAACATCCTGCTGGACGCGGGTGTCGATTTCGACGAGAACCTCCTGTGGGAGGTTGACGAGAACGGCGTTCGGCGGAGAGTCGACTTGGGCATTGTGGGGAACCGCGGTGGTGGGCGGCGGCAGTGCACCAACGTCGACGGCGACTTGTTGCGGGATGCGCTTCGAGACCGTCTGGCTTTAATGTAGATGCACGCAGAAGAACACGGGGATGGTCGGATTGGACGAAGGGGGTCGGTAGGAAGGA